ATCTTTGAGGAATGCTTCCAGCACCTTGTTGAATCTATGCCACGACGAATTGAGGCAGTTTTGAAGGCAAAAGGGGGTCCAACCTGTTACTAGCGTGGTGTACCTAATAAAGTGGCCAGTGAGTGTACAAGAGATGATGTAGATTTTTAATAGTTATGTTATTGTTTATAACTCTGATACGTGATAATTTTGTGCACTGTTTTGTAACTACAGATGATTAAAAGTATTTATTGCCTCAACTTGAGTCTTTGTCCAGCCTACTGCTTCTAAAAACAAAGAACAGGCAAACGGATGGCCGAATCTACAACATGAACAAAATCTGACGCAACACCACGTCAAAAATTTAGTATGAAAAATGATTTGTTTCACTAACCTAGTGTCATTTAAAAAAATGTGTAAGTTACTGGAGCACAGAGGGAGAAAAGTGCCTGCAACAACCAGCTCTGACTAAAACAGCTCCAACACCCAAACAGGAGTAAAGCAGCGAGTTGGTGTTTAGCATATTACTGTGTCTGAATGATTTGATAAACAGTTACATACGGGGATGTTGTACAACCAATAAGCACACAGCGGGTTTATTTTGGAAGGCTGACTGCGCATGGCTGCTCCGTCAGTGTGGAAACACTGCGGTGAGAATAAGCAAACACGTCGAATTAGACCACCGGACTTAAGACACACATTTAACACAAAAGGGAGGGGGGCTTCAACTTCAACTGGGACTTAGTCCGTAACCAGAAGAGCCGTGCAGGCAGCCGACATTAGCATGCAGGCCCGGGCGCGGCCATATCCGAGCCACACAGTTAGCTAGCTACCGTTAGCCTTAGCTTTCCCAATGGATAGCCGCGGCTCAACTTTTCCCTCAAATCTATGATTTCCCGACCCCCCCTGGACGAGTCTTTCCGCGCTGAGCCTCGCGTCGACCGGACAACGACGAGCGCGTTTAGCGAGAGCCTCCGCTGAGACGCYGAGTCACTTCCCTTCATACCATTTTTGATGTTAAAATCAGACGAACGGTCCAAATTCAGCAGATTTCTTCACCCGTGCCCCTCTGCTAGACAATGAAATCAGAACGTCCGATCATCAATTCTAATCATGATTGTGACGTGTTCGCAGACAGGAGCCAATGAGAGCTCGAAATCACGGCTGTGACAGTCGGAGAGGCGCCGTGGTCCCGCCCCCCGTTGACTTTGTTCAGAGAGTTGCTGGAGGGGGAGGTCACAGGCAGGCAGTGTGGGCTGTGCCTCTTCACCTCACTGATGTCACCCAGTTCTGGAGCTGGAAATAATTTACTGAAAACTGCAAATTAAACAGTTTCCATTATGACTGCCTTGGTGTTTCTGCCTTCACCTTTAAAATTAAGTATTTTACAGTGAATATTAAATTATAACGTGAAGTCGGTGAGATTAAAAAGATTTTTTGTTTGCGTCATGTTGTCATTGTTGTTGTGTTAGCAAAATATCTCTTAAGCTACTAGATGGATTGTAATGAAACCCTCAAATAAAAGAAATGAATTACTGGATAAGTCGACAACTGTGTGAAATTGCGATGACATACTTCCTGTCAGGGAATGCCTTTTTTTTTGTGTGTGTGTGTGTGTGTGTGTGTGTGTGGCAAAACAAGTCAACAGCGACAGTACACTCCAGAGATGTGCGTGCGCAAGTCTTTTTTACAAGTCCAAGTCAAGTCTCAAGTCTTTGGCTCCAAGTCAAGTCCAAATCTTTATTCTAACTATACTAGGTACTAGATTATATTCTATAATACTATAGTTTAATCAAATATTAAAACATAGTCTTATGTTTTAATGATACTATTAAAACATAATATTTTTTAAAAATACAGATAAGATTAAGGTTAAATAAGAACAATCAAGCATTTAGAGCAGGGGTGGGCAGTCCTGGTCCTCGAGGGCCGCAGCGCTGCAGGTTTTATGTTTTTCCCTGCTCCAACACCTGATTCAGACGTTGAATTACCAAGTTCTGCAGTGTGGAGGACCGACACTGATACAACTAGAAAAAAAGCAGAAATATATAAATAGACCAATAAATAAATTCAATTAAAAATGTGCCAATTAAATTTAAAAAGCAGAGCTTTACCTCACTTTTTACAATTTAATTGACCTTCGTAATTATTTTTCCAACTTAGTTTCAACTAATAATATATTTTTGCACATAA